CGGAGTAATTAAGTGTTAATTTACAGTTACATCGTTTTCAGTGTCACTGGTGCTAAAAAAATGAAATATTTTTCAACTCCTCATTTTTAATTAAATATAGAGTAGATATACAACAAATACTTCTTAAAGAATTCTTAAATTAAATGTATACAATTAGATTATAAAATATTAAATTAATTCAGGCGGGCGATTAACGAGTATTATTAGACGAAATAAAGGTAGAATGCAACTTCTGTAATGAAGCAATTTTAGTGTAGCATAAACACTGTAAGAAGAATTTGATCCAGATAAGCGCTAATTACCAAATGCAAGAGTACTAAGGATAATTAGGTATTAGTAAGGGTATAATGTCTCTAAAGTCAAACACTACCTCAGTTTTCAGATATAAAGTACATTTATTTATTAAAAATTTAAAATAATATTACTAAAGGTATGGTAAAATATATATGAACATTCTTTGTTTGAGTAAGCTAAAAATAACGTGCAATTTTGATCAATATATAATGTCTGTCCAGAGCTAATCAGGTCAGGTTCGCTTATTCAAAATATTTTTATTTGCATAGCTGTTTTAAACTATAACAAAACGTATATTTTAGAAAATCTTGGTGATATATACACAACATTGTGTTAATAGAGTATGAAACTCGAGGATATAAAAGAAAGTTACCCACTCCATTATTATGTCTGGCAAAACGATTATCTTGCTCTTGACGAGCTTCTTAAGCAAAAGAAGGCAATATAATAATTTTATTTATTAAATATAGGCTAGCATCGAAGTGAAGGATCCTCATGGCAGGACTCCATTAATGCTAAGTGTTACGCTTGGTCATTTGGAATCCTCCAGGGTGCTTGTCAGGCACAATGCAAATGTTTGCTGCGAGTCTAAAAATTACTGGTCGGGTAAATAGGCTCCCAAAATTTCTCTTAAACTAATATTTACTGCCTATTTTTGATTTACTTGTATTGCATTTACTTTATATTTTTAGTGACTCAGGAAGCTATTAGTTCGGGTGATCCAGAGCTAGTTAAATTACTATTGACTCACAGAGATGTTCAGTTAGTTCAAAATCAGGCAACTTTAGTGAATGATCTACTAAAAAAGTTGTGTGAAACACCTGATTTCTATATTGAAATGAAATGGGAGTTTACAAGTTGGCGTAAGTAAAGTATATATGTATATAGATAGGTATTTTTTCTATTTACCAATGCGTTTTTATAGAATGTGTTTTTACTCTTGATTTGTTACTTTTATTTACTTTTTATTCCTCTGAATTTGGCTCCCATCCTCATCCTAGTGTAAAGGTGAATTGCGTAATTTAATCGATTCCAACTTATTTTTTCAAGTACCCTTAGTCTCTCGCATGTGTCCTAACGATATTTGTCGTGTATGGAAGCGTGGAGCGAATGTTCGAATCGATTCTAACCTTATCGGTTTTAATGGCACTGCATCTTGGGTACGAGGACATCTCAGCTACATATTTCGCGTTGGCGGTGAGAGCGTATTATTTTTTATCATTTAAACTTTTGTTTGTATTTATTTATGCATACTTCATTAACTGTTTGTTTTCATTTATTAATTTATAGCACGTATATGTGTTTTGATAATTTGTCTTATTTTTAATTTGAATCGATACTGCTATTTTTGTTCTTTCATAAATATAGCATTTTCTTCATCACAGTAGATAATATTTAATCACATATTCCTTTCTCATAGGAGGAATATACTTTTTTAGCTGAAAAAGCTCTTTTCGTAATTATAGAGTGATTATTTAGGTTAGGGCTCTACTCGATTATACTATTTTTATTAAGGGGTTTAGATTAATAGACATTTTATGCATTCGAGAATTAGTAATACCATCTGAATTGACAGCACATTTGAGACTATTTGCTTAATTTATTGAAATTTTGTTAAAAGAACATGTTAATTAACTTTGGCTAAGTAACCACCTTGAGCTTGGAAACTGAAATGGAACTAGTTTTCTTCAGACTAATTTGCAAAAGGTTGTTTGCTCTTGGCGGGCGCTAATGACACTCATGAGAGGTCGAAACTATATTCCATCTCGGATATTTGTTAGTCAAGGCTTATTTACACTTATTTACACTTATTTTACACTTTATTTCAAATAAGGAGAAAGTGTACTCAACATTGGCACATCAATATGTTCATCAGAAACGACCTCATTAAATATAAAATAAATGGATCTTGACACACAATTATCTGTATTTTTGGCGTGCATATGCTAAATATTTTTGTAGTTTTATTTAAAACAAACAAGACCCATTTAAAAAATTAAACTAAGTAAATTTATCTTAGGCTGTATTTTGCAGACTCTTAAAAAAAATTGTTTCAAATTTATCCATTTATCTCATTGGTAATTTAATTTTTATATTATGACTATTCTCCCGATTTATGTTCTTCTCTTAATTAGTTTAAGGTTATTTGGTAATTTAAAAATATATGAATTGGTAACATATATAGTGGCTCCTATCCTTTGCTTCAGCAGTACCCTACCTTTTTATTGTTTTCTAAGGATATTTCTTACTTTCCGCATGCACTAAACTTTATATCTAGAAGTAAACCTAAAAACCTCATTTAACTTTATAGATTTGATCTTGCCGCCAAGGTTCTTGCCTCATAATTGCACATTTATTTTCATTACTTCTAGCCATATGCCTATTGGTACTTAAAACCTAGATCCAACAATGACTATTAGTTTTGACTTGCCGAGGTATCGAAATAATATATTTTGATATTATTTCGCCAAACTCTGTCATGATCTAACTTTTACACCTTGATATTTATCCGTAGCTTACTTTTTGTGGGCTTATTTTTAAAACGATTCCCCCCGAATAAACTTATCTAACCATGCTTTTCAAAATATTTTGTATACAACTGAAATGCTAGATACTCCTTTAGAACTTAGGGATTTGTTTTATATGGCTAATTTTCAATTATCATTTTGCTTAAGTTTTTCGTTAGTTATTCTACCATTGTTTGAGGTGTTCTTTAAGTATTTACTTTAATATATTTTATACTAGAATATGATTTGAGCAGGATTTCGATATAAGTATACTGAAATACTAGTATACACAGAGCATGCGCATCGTCTAACTTTATGGCAATAACGATAGAGTCGAAGGCTTAGAATAGCCCTATTCTTTAAAAGTACTTTTAATATCTATTTTTTGTTGCTAATATACAGTTCCTGTGGTCTTTAATTAATTTACTTTTTTATTTTCTTTATTTCAAATTTCTGTATCCCATCGTTGAGCACCTTACATAAGCACACGTACTTTTAATGTCTCACCTAATACTGATACCTTAAATACCTGTATGGACCTATGAATTTATTTTTACTTAATATACTCGACGGCTAGGCTCTTTAGTGAATATCATAAAAGGAAAAAATCGTAGGATTAAAGTTATTATTTTTGAAGTCCCCTCTAAGTTGTATTGGCAATTACTGTATAGGAATCTTTATAATCTATAATGAATAGCCTTAATTTATGATTCATTTCACCAAATTAATAATCGGGCTAATTAATTTTATCACTTTTCATGGTGTTAAGACTCTGGTGCTGTAATGGACGAAATTAACCACACAGATCGTACGATTTATCGCCATACTATAAACCTTTTTGGTTCTGAGGCTTCCGATGGAGGCGCCGGAGTTGTGACTAATGCCGGGGCTTTCACAGCGGCAACAACAACAGGAGCGTCAGTCGGGACCGAACATTTAACTGGTGGGGCTACGGCTACTGCTGCTGCCGGTCTCTTCGTGCGAGAACCATCAGAAGATTTGATTGCTAGAAAATTGACCCAGCCAATCTTTGTTACTTATCTGGATACAGATAAAATCGAGTTCGAAAAGTTAGCTTATTCTGTATTTAAGCATATTTCTTTTATGAATCATCTAGTTCTCTATACTTTTTTCATCATTTAATGGGGAAATAACTATCAGCTAATGCGCATTTACCTAATGCCGTCCTTCTTAATTGTTTATTGCTTATTTTGCTATTTCATTTATCTACAAATATTGAGTCTAAATACCTATCTGAATTAATCTGTTCTTAATCCTTACATAAATCTTTATTAACATTTTGTTTTATCTTATCCACCAACTAGCTTGGGTTATATAGGAATAATCTACAAATTTGTGCACTTGTCTGTCAACCTGTTGTTATTTTTTACATTTTATAATAAT